CCTTTATCTTCTCGAGCTGATCTTTGAAATTTTCTGTTCAGCTCTTGTACCTCCTCATTTCTTCCATTTGCTTTAGCATCTCTACGCTTGAGAGCAAGTTTCAGTGTCACTTCTGACATCCATGTGACCTTTTCCTTCTTTCTTGTCTTCTTAGTGACCTTTTGCTTTCTTCCTGTATGATGTTCTTGATGTCATCCCACAACTCTTCTGGTCTTCATCTTTAGTGTTTAATGTATCAAATCTGTTCTTCAGATGATCTTTAAAGTCAGGTGAGATATAATCAAGGTCATATTTTGGCTCTCATGGACTTGTTTTCATTTTCTTCAGCTTCAGTTTGAATTTGCATATGAGTAATTGATGCTATGGCCTAGGAAATCCTGTAGGGCAGCAGTTCTATTCTGTCACAAGAGTTGCTATGAGTCAGAACCAACTTGACAGCACCAACAACAGCAGCCCTGGCTGACGGCTGTAGACCTCCGGGGCCAACTCAGGCCAACGAGGAGTTCTTGGGTCACAGAAGAAGCGTAGACAGAGTTACAGTTGGCAAGGCATAACCCAAGCCCATTTTCTCTCTGCCACAGCCCCTAGGGAAGGACCACAGCCAATGGTTAAATCATTGCTCTCATGCTTGCCAACGTGCTTTTATGAACTCTATACCAGGAGAAAGACATCCTTAGCTCATTTCTGTGAACATCATTGGCAAGGTGGAAGAAAATGACCAGGCAGAGGGGGGTAGGCATCCTCGCTCGATTCTAGTCCCCGATTATAGAAAGCAGGTCCCTTGCCCACCTCACCCTCTAGACCCCACAACTCCTGGTTCTCCTGATGCCCCTGTACCAGCCAGATGATTTGGCCAAGTTCTGTGCCCCACTGCATGCAAGCACATATACCCAAGACAACACAGGTACCCTGTTCACACCTCTGACATAGGTACATAGACATGCACACAGCTCTGCCTCCACCTCAGAACCTGTACTGATCTGAACTGTCCTTGAGTACCCCTGTCTGCCCTGCCTATCCTGCAGACCCCTTCTCCAGAGCTCTGTCTTGCCTGGTAACTCTGGCAAGAGTTTCAGTGCAGCCTCCTTGCTCTCCAGATGTCCTGGGGCCAGACGAGGCCTGTTGATCTGCTTGTTTGCAAAGGGACTTCCTTCATGTAGCTCCATGCTCACCGTTGCAGCAAGACCTCATTGCACCCTGATCCACACCTCATTTCCCCAGACCTACTGATGGGGTGGGGGTCCCAGGGCACCCTGACTGGACCTGAGAAATCCCAAGATGATCTTAGGTCCAGTGATCTCAACCTACTGATGGGAGACCCTCTGTGGCCTTGGGTTCCATCACCCTGGACTATGGATCAGTGTCCCCAGGACATGATGTGTGGGTCCAGCAGTCAGTGCCTTTAGTCTTCTCCACACTTCCGGGAGTGCAGGGGAAATTGATTTCTGGGTTCTGCTATGTTTCGTTGGAAGTATGCACAAGCTAGCAGAAAGAGAGAAACAAAATCCCACCTCCAGCTCTCACCCCCTCCCAGTGACACCCCTCGGCAAAGACAGCCCCCACCAGCAGTTTCAAGGGAAGTGTACTTTTTATTTTTTGACAAACATTTGCTTTTTTTGTTTTTTAAAATAACCAATAGTGTGTATGAGTGTTTGGGACTATTCCCCCAGGAGGAAGTACAGTTCCTGGGTTTGGCCAAATTCATGAATTGCAAGAGCAGTGGCCGCTCTTGTCCAGGTAAGCAGGTAGGAAAACCGGGATGTGGGGCCTTCCTGAGCCGACCACATCTCATGTCCCAGGGGAAAGGAGACCCTTGGAGTTAGCTTAGGAGCCTCTGGATGTAGCCAATGGCTAATATGCTTAGCTGTTAACCAAAAAATTGACTCACCAAAGGGGGCCTTGGAAAAAAGATCTGGAGATCTACTTCTGAAAAAATCAGTCACTGAGAACAGGGAGCACAGCTCTCCTCTGACACACCCTGGGTCACCAGAAGTTGGAGGCGACTTGACAGCAATTGAGTTTAAGGGGTAGTTTGGGGCAGACCATCTGGATTCTTACTGTGCCTGCTGATGTGTCAATGGGTCTACAGAGGAAAGAAAGCCTCTGTTTGGGGCAGGAGCTAGGGTACCAGCAAGGCATGAGGTAGGCATCTGTGTCCCTATGGGGTATGTGTGAGTAAGAAGTAGCAGATTCAGGTCATTGGGTTGGGACAGTCTCTGTGCAGTTGTGTGTGTGTGAGACTCGGCCTACAGGTGCAGTGAGAGGTCAATGTATGAAGTTGTGTGTGTGTTCCGCCCCCCCCCCCTTCACGGAGGCTCTCTTTCAGTGAGGCCCCCCTCAGGAACCCATGTTCAGGGAAGGGAGGAAGGCAGGGCCTGCACTGTGTATCCAGCACCCTCTGAAAACAAGTCACAGGAGATAATTGCAGACGTTTACTGAGCAGACAAGTAAACTAGAGCCCCAGCGTATAAACCTGTTTCTAGTTGGAAGACCAAAGGTTAGCAAGATTTGTCACACACAAGTCCTAATACAAAAACGATGTACCTCCCTGCTGTCGCGTCACTTCCTACTCATAGTGATCCTGCAGGGCATAGTAGAACTGCCCCTAATCTTTCCAAGGTTGTAAATCTTTACCGCAGCAGACTCATATCTTTCTCCTGAAGACCAGCTGATGGCTTTGAACTACTGACCTTTAGGTTAACAGCCCAGTGATTAACCCACCATGCCACCAGGGTTCCTTAAGTCATAATGGGGAAGTCATGATCACCATGCAAAGGGCATTTGGGAGAGAGTGAAATTAATTCCAGCAGATAGTCTTAGGAAAAGCATGGTTTTGATCTGGGCTTGAAGGACAGGAAGAATCTGGGCATACAGAAGAAATATAAAACAGCGTAGGAAAACACTTCAGGTTAAATGCTAATCAAAAGAGCAAGCCATCAAATGCCTTGTATAATAGTCACTAGATAAAACCACAGGAAACTAAAGGAAATGAACTAAAATACATCCTAGTTCCTGTCTTAGCTTCGATGAAATTGTAGACAAATTATTTCCTATTCTTTTATGTTTTCCCAAGTGTCTAAAATAAGAGTGTGTTGCTTCTCATTTTTAAAAAATCAA